ACACCTCCATATCTCCCCCACACACCTCCATGTCTCCACCACACCTTGCCATATCTGCCCCGCTTCCTGCCATGTCTCCCCTGTCACCTGCTATATCCGAAGAGCGAGTAGTGAATGCTTACTTCATGGAAAATACTGCTCCAAATATCCACACTTGTGTTCGTTCCACTTGACCATTTGGTTACTTACATGATGTATTTCCTGTATTTGGTCCAAGTGTTCAAATGGACATAAATGAATAACATCAGTGTATAATTCCTGTATTGGTATACACATATTAAGTTGTAATAGCAATATATATTTATTTCCCTCTTTTTTACATGGAGTGTATATCGATGTATTTTTTGTCTACTATACAGACATTTGGACATTGGTGACATAATGCGTTACCTGCAGTCAAGGGTGAGGCAGAGGGCTCTCCCTGCCAATCAAGTTAATGTCCTCCGTGGGGAGGAATTTGATTGTGCGGTGAGAGCTTTCAGTTGGTCCGCCTTTGATCCAGAGTCCAGGCTGGATTTGGTGTTCGTGGACGAGAGCGGAGTGGGCAAAGGGGCTGTTGATGAAGGTGGGCCGACAAGGGAGTTTTGTTGCCTCCTCATGGGCCAGCTTCAGCAGCACCATATTTTTGAAGGGCCTTCTGAGGCACGAGCTTTGGCTCTAGATAGTGTTGGTATGTTTGAATTGCACATAGTCATTTTAAATGTCACAATTTATGTATACTTTATTTAATTAGGCACTGGCCATCCTACTCTAACACTGAATACACAAATAAGTTGTAGTGCATCAAAACTTTCAATGTGACATGTTTTTCCTCTACAGCTCTGCACAATGGGGTGTATAGGCTTGCAGGACAAATGGTTGCAGTTTGCCTAATTCAAGGAGGGGTTTCTCCACACTTTTCTTCCCATCGTCGTTTCAGGCAAATCTGTGGCCTTCCATCCCTTCCACCTTCCATAGAAGAGGTGGCAGACCCAGAGTTCCAGGACAAATTGTGCAAGGCAAGTTGGTAGATGACTTTATACTGTAGTATCATTACAGTGTCAGAAAAGTTAGTAAAGCAGCAATGTACGGGTCTGTAAATATAACTTATGAAGAAGACTAACTCTTTAGAAAGGTTAAAGAGTTTCTAGGCACTGTACCTGGATTAAGGTGTGGGCCGGGCAAGATAATATTTTAATAGGTAATTATATTTATATTGATTGTGACTTTGAAAGTTTCTTATAACCTCAGACAGAAATTTCCTGTGAAATACTGTGAAATTGCTGTTTCACTTTCAGTTGTGTGCTTTTCATTCCTTCTCATACCAGATAGCAAGTGCTGTTACACTGGAGAATGCCAGAGAGGCAATCAGTGGAGCCACAGATGAGCTAACTGTTATGGGAGCTTTATGCTATTGCTACCTAAACTCCATGACCCAGAGAGATGAACTGATGACAGCTATTCTGGAGTTTTACACAGAGGGCCGTATTTATGCCGCACTCCAGCAGTAAGTACAACAATGTTTATGATTTTATAAATAAGGGGGGGGGGGGGGGGG